AGACAACTCGTTGGAGTCGGTTTAAAACTGTTGTCACGGGGCGCAAAGAGGAAACAAAGAGGTGTATCTGGCTCGTTTCTAATGGAAGACGGATGCACCACACTTAGAGACGTTGAATCGTATCTAACGAAGGTTTGGTTGGTTGGTTTCAGCCAAGAAGAAAGGTCGCGTGTTGTTCCATGGATATCTGAGTGGCGGGATCTTAATGGAGGATTTAATGGAATTTATTAGAGGTTGGAATCGCTCGTTTTAATTCGATGATTATTTAGAACGCGATCAGAGAAATAACGAGTTTGATTTCGTGGTCGACTGTTTAAATTGGAAAAGTTAAGTGTCGGTTGCTTGGATAATGGCAATGGAATGAATTTTTGGAAATAAATTGCGATTTTAGACGGTTCCATTCCAGCAACGAAAATGATTAAAAAATGTATGTATCTTCAATACGATAATTCATTAATGTATTCCCATCGCGAGTGGAGAGAGATAGACATCTAATTCGTAGAAAAATTATATTCTATAATCGTCGACTAAGTAAGATTATTCCGCCGGTGTTTAAATCCGTTCGATGGAACGTCTGTTATCTAGATGCCAGATATTGAATCCAGGAATACGGAAGTTTCCCAGAATGGATCCGAAACTACGTCCATGTTTGTTTGGTCTCAAAGCAGGAAAGTTTATTTTCTGCTCTCGGTGTTTTTCCGATTTGCATACCGTGGAATCTGTGTGCCGTGCACACTCGGCAATCCCCTGCGTTTTCCTCGAAATAACAAAACGGACCCGCCAAATAAACCGGATTCCAGCTTCGCCGGCATTACGCTGATTTCTTGCCCGTCTCTTTCTCCTTGCACGCGCCTTCTTCTTCTTCTTCTTCTTCTTCTTGATAACTCCATGTGTTTCGAATTTTGTTTCAATCCCTTGACAAGAATGGCGGCTTAAAAGAGGCAGAGAAAATTTTCTTCATCGGGACAGAGATTCGAAGAAAACTATAATTGAAAATGGTTAATAAATATTGTAACGATTCCATCCGAGCAAAAGTGAATCGACTCGCAAAAGTCGATTACTCGCTCAAAACTTTTCCATCCTGTTCCATCAACGAACTACTTACATCCCTCTTCGTTCTTTTATCGCGTCAATCAAGGGGAGGGAAGTTTGCCAGGAAGGGAGAATTCCCTTAGATAGTTCATAAAAGCGGAAAGTTCGCTAATTCGGTACGGGTATGTACATATACTATCGTCGCGAGTTAATCGTTATCGTTAAGAGGAGGATCTTAAATCACGAGGATTATTCGCGAGATAAGGAGCCAGATGCGGTGAATCCTTCCGGTACGTGCGTCTCGAATAGACACGTCCCGACACTCCTCCGCTTACCAGATGGTACCCACAGATCCGTTCTCAGGGAAGAAGTATTCCCTCCCCTCCCCCGAGAGAAAGAGCGAACCTCGAGGTAGAAGACGAAGGCCGAGACTCGGGGGTTGAGATTCGAGGACGAGGAACCAGCAAATGGAGGCAACTTTTCTTCGGTCGAAAACTGGAACGGCGGAAGTGGGATAAATTCGTCGAAGCCTGTCGAGCCGTCGAATCTTGAGGACTGAATCCTAATTAACGGCGATCCAGAGAAGTAGCAACGGATGTGATCTTCGATGATCATCATCGAGCTTCATCTCTCGTGAATTAAGAGAGGTGTACAGGCGGGAGAGAAGAGAGTGGCAGGTTGAATGTTTGCACATGGCTGTGCAACCTTTTCAGATAGAATTATGAAATCACTGGACCAACTTCCGTTCCGGGCGTGGAAACTTTTCGATCGACAGATATTAGGATTTTCATCGAGCAGTATTCCATTTATGGAATATAAAACTGATGGAATAAGATTAGGACACCCTCGAGATATACGTACGATATCATTGATTAATTAATTTCGTTTCGAGAATCGATCGAGGGAGAGAACAGGCGAATTATTGTCTTAAACGAGGGGTTTACATCGACCCCTTAACATCTCCTCGCGGAGACCTTGAAACTTTGAGCACATCCACGACGAGGCTCCTCTCTCGTTGCCGAAATTAGCGCTTCCGCTTAACATCGCGAGTTACGCATCCAGCGCGCATCTTGAGCGTCGCTCTCGCGATCACGAGGTGAACATCCATTTTCTTCCCACCCCCGAAACGTGTCGGCGAATCAACCGCGTTTCTCGACGACGAGGAATTACGCGCGGATTAATACAGAGCTGCCTCGTGAGGTGAAGTATCTTCGAGTTTGTGATCTTTTCTTTCTGGTCAATCTGATTGAATTTCTGGAAAAATTAAGAGAAGATTTTCAAGAGAAGGGAGAAAAATTGCAAGGGGGAGAAATTGTGTGTTTGTGACGGATTGGTGGACGTTGGTCGGACGAAGGCGTTTAAGGGCGTTGACATTTGAATAATATTTTATGGAAATTGGTTGTCACGTGTGATGTTTCGATGTCGTTTCTCCCTTTCCCATACCGGTCGTGGGGAATCGATAATGGCATCGGTGTAAAGTGGAACGCGTTAATAGGTTTTCTCGAAGAGAATCAGGAAGCCTTGCCTGTGTTCCTCGGCGCTGTGATAGTCTTTACGTGCCTCGTGGAGCGTCATCGAGCCGAAACAATAATCGTAAACTCGTCGAAATGCGGCTATTTCGCGCAAATAGTTGCTGGCCATTTTAAATAAAATGGAATTGCTTATTTTTCTTTCCTTTTCTTTTTTTTTTTTTATATATATATTTTCGATTATCGTATAGCGTGTGAAATTAATTGTACGGAAAATGGATGCATCTTAACGAATTCTTGTAACATTTCAAAGTTTCTTTTAATTATAATTACGCGAAGATGATTCTCGTACGAAACGCTCGTTTAGAGTTTACCTTCGATGTTATCTGTGTCGCGCAAAGGATGTATTAAAAAAGAAAAAGAGAGAGGGAGAAAAAAACTCACTTCCATTAAAGAGAAACATTAAAACCCTCATAATCTTGGAATAGATGAGGGGAGAAGATTATGGTCCGCGGCATATGCCAGTATCTTTCCAACCCATCTATATTCTCCTCATTCGTGCGCCTCAAAAAACCTACATTCCACTTCATATTATTCCGCGCTATATTAAAAATGTGGATACTTCGAAAAAATTTTACACGATCCTCGCTCTCGATCAAATCAATCGTATTTCTATTTCATCCGTGCGATTACGTTCTCGATTAAACTTTATGATCTCTCAGGACGTCAAATTGGGAAACCCCCAATTCTGCGGTTCTCGAAGCCGAAGGGCGTGCCATTTTAGGTGCATTCCGAGCCAGGCTACGCGAGTCAATAAGGTCGTCAAATAGCAACCCCCACCCTCGACCTCCACAAAAGGCTGTTAACTCGCTGCTCTGCCCTTCGTACAAACGCGTCGCACAAACCGATAAGATCGATACGAATTCACGCAACGATCAATATATATTATAGTTTCCCTCCTTATTTTTCCAATTCTACGAGTCGCGCAGTGATGAATCGCGGCGAACGACGTTAACTCGTTCTAAAGGTTCTTCCACTCGGCGTTCTTCTCGAGGAGGAGCAACACGTATATACGTACGTACGTATATAGGCCTCGTTTCACTCGACGATAATAGGATCACGCGAAGATAAACTCGGGGGATTAGAGGATTATCGAATATCCCAAGTGCGTGCAGCCAGCGTTAATGGTATGCTAATTTACTGGTAATTCTGAAGGGAAACGGCTAATAACTCAGCAACGGTGCCCAACCGCGAAGATCCTCCCCGCAGCGGTGGCTCGATATAATTCCTCCTCCATCTCCAGGCATCGACCTCGACAACTTGCGGATGCGTACACGTGTTAATACGAACTTGGAAAACGTGTCCACGTGTGTTATTTCCCCGAAATTTCCCTTCGAAATTGCCACGGCGGCAATTTTCCTTCGACGATGCATAGCGCGTGACCCCTTAAGGCGATTCGCATAAGGGTTAATTGTGGTTAATCGCGACGCGGCTTGGATCTCCGGGTCACCGTGACGAATTAATCCGACGAAATGGATCGTGAAACGTGCCGCTCAATGGCGAACTTAGGCGAGAGTTGGTTAAATTCGATCGATTCTTGTCTTGGCAATAATGATCCAATATGTCGATTTCTGTGAAAATAGAATCGAGGTTTCAAAAAATTATTGGAATATTGGATATGACGTAATTATCTCGGCGATTTTTATTATCTTATTATTAGCGAGTTCATTAATCTCTTTAAGAGATAATACGATGACGAATCGTCTGGAGAAGAAAGAAATAAGGGTAGAATTTATTCATTTGTCTTGCCTTGTTTACCCTTTATCCCGTTGTACTCGCTAGGTCGGCTGAAGCGCGGAAGCGCGAAAGCGGATAATACAATAAACCAGCGGGAAAATATTTATGATTTCTCGTGGTGGCCTACGAAGAATCGCATAAATATTTACGGGTAGAGGTATTTCGAGGAAAAACACGTTGGATGGGTATCGTAATTCCAGCAACGTTTTCTCTTATCCGGATAGGGAGGGAAGATCGAGATTGGTAAGGAAGGTGGTGGAATAGGGCGCGAAAGGGGGTTTGCGGGCCGCGAACAGCCGTTTAATCTGCGATCTACGGATCGGCTTCGCCCGGCAATAGTTTCACACTTTACGGGGCTTTGGTATGCAAATGCGGGCGAAGAAACATGTGCAATATCTCCTCGAAGGCTGGCCACCTGCCAGGTCTTATCCGTGGCTGTGCAAGTTCGCGATCGTGTACCCATCCGGACACGATCTAACATCACAAACTCGTTTACGCTGACACGCTGGATCGGTTTTCCAGCGCAGCTGGAAACGCGTGGAAACACTTTCACCCGAATCTCTTGCCTCGTGCGAAAATTCGTGATCGATCGCGATAAGATGAATAAAATCGTTTCCAAATTTACGTTACGTTTAATTTTTATTTTTGTTATTATTTTGTTTTTTTTTTTCTGCAGCAGGTAAGACAAGACGAACGAAACGAATCCATTAACAACGGGGCGACGATTTCCACGCAGTGAAAACGCGGTCGCCGACCCCTTGGCTTGGTTTTCCACGCGGCCAATTATTTAATGAAAAGCAGGGCGCATCGGTCCTTGTGCATCAGTACCGTGAGTGTAAATACAGAGCACGTTATGATTTATGACCGGTGTGTTTAACGACGGCCAGGGAATCAGGATGCATTTCCTGTAAATGTTTACGCGCACATTGAAAGCGTCCATTAACGAGGAGGGATTCTCGTTCAACGTTTGGAAAATCACTGTCCGACCTGTTTCGTCGATCGATACCGATCCGCGGATCAATCTCGTAATTTCGAAATGGAAACTTTTTCCGACTAGCAGTCGAAATTCTCGTGAGGAGAGATCACTTTCGTTTTCAAATTCGTCGAAATTTCTTCCTTTCTTTTCCCTCGCGTCGCGATTCAATTTCGCTTTCAATTCGAAGCCAATGATCGCCGGGATGATATTCGAACGGTGGTTCGCGTTCGTCGGCTTGGAAATCGAGTGGCTCGAATCCTGTAATTGTTTCGTTCGTTCGTACCAACGCGGCCAATTATTAACGCGGTCGCGGTTTGCGCTCGATCAAGAAGAGGACCAACGCAAATAACGAATAAATTATAGTTACAGGATAGTTAATAGTATTTAATTGGGTCTTAACGGATTCCTTTCCGGATCTAGTTTCGAGGAGATACGATAACGACGAGCGGGAATAATTGAAGGCAGCCAGATACGAGAAGCAACAAAGGGAATTATGAAATTTCCAAGTAGCGGAGTTCAAGTAATGGACTGAAAGAAAACAACAATTCGCGATTAAATCCGCGAGAGAATTCCATTACTCTGGAACAATCTATTTATTTCCACTAATTCCTGACAATTACACACCCTCCCCTTTTCCCAGCGCCATTAGCGCAATTAGACAGGCTGGCAACTTCTTCGTCTCTTTCTTCCCCGAGTTAAACGATGCGCCGCTGAAATTCTAGCTCTCTGACCTTTAACAGCTGCATTACCGTACGTGGAGAGACACGACCATTTGCGAAATCAATTTTACAGTGGCTCGTGCCGCTCGTAAACGCTTGCGAAATTGTGATGCCTGCGCAGCGCCACTGATTGCCGTGGATAATGTCAGGCTGACCTATACCCAAGAATTCATGCTCTGCCAATGCCGATTTCGGGGTTTCGATTATCTCCCTTCGCCCTCGGCAATCTGCTCCTGTCCGCGCGCATCGTCGTCGTAAATTCGGCAAAGGGTAGAATCGTTCTATGACAAGCTTCTTATTCGTCAATTTTTTTCTTTTCTTCCGATATTTATTGTATAATTTTCGAAAGAAAGTAACGTGGAAGGATAATTACGGAGGAGAGAAACGATTAGACGTGTTCCTTGATCGGATCTCGATTAAACCGCGGATAACGACATTGATCATGGATGATTCAGGGCGTGTAATTGCGGTTGTTTTGCCCTCCCCCCCCCTCGCGTTTGAACGCATACCTCGTGAATAATCCTCGCGATTTACGACGATAAAGCGAATTCGCGTGTGCAATATTGATAGAACCGTAGACGTGTATTTCCATCCGACATGTATTTCGACGCGCGTAATTAATTCTTCCTTTTACGCGCGTTTCCCTCTGCTTTTTCTTAATTAACAATTAATAATTTCCCTTCTACTCGGATGGAAGAAACGAAGAAAAGGAAAAAGGAAAGAAAGAATGTTTCTTATTCGATCTTCAGTTTCACACGAAAGAGAAACTCGTTATATCCTGTACAAATAATCGGAATTGTTACGATCGAACATGTCTCGTTGACGCGTTACATCGAAAGCGAATGTCGTGGCAACGCTATCAATCCTTGAACGATTTATCGAAATGATTTATTTATCGAGTGTGTCGCGAGATTTTCTTTGCCGGATACCACGACCGAGCCGGATAATGAAATTGAATTATTAATTACGGCAGGAAGGGAGAGGAGGGAGGGAAAGAAAGCTTTCCCCGCATAAGAGGATCAGATTCCGTGAAAGCGGTCGCCGAGCACAAACATTCGAAAGATTAAAGAAAAATCCGTGAACTTTTCTCTCTTTCTGTCTTTCTCTCTCGAAGAGAGGAAAAATATCCATTCCTTCTGCTTGTTTCGTTTTACGCGATCTTAATTATCGAGCGAGACGATATAATTATTTAAACAGAGGCGAGCCTGGTGTGCCGTATAAACGGCTAATGTGAAATTATCATGCACGACCGCGCTGCCGAGCTAATCCCTTAATGGTAGAAATTTAATAGAAATTTGTGCGACCAGTTCTACTCTAGGAATCCGCGAAAAGAGAAAAAGAGGAAAAGAAGTGGAAACGGAAAAAGAGCAGACTTTGGTCGTTAATGGATACAGACTCTATATACACAAATATATAACGAGAAACTTGGTATCGTGGTGGTAAGGACGATTAAAATTTTAACGACCGAGTAAAAATTTCCGGTGATCCAAAAATCCGAAAAGTAAGACGAAGAATCGAATAGGTGATAATAAAACTTTGGTATCGTCCTCTGTCCAGAGGTAGGTGGTAATTCCCTCTCAAGGGAAGATTAACGAGGACGTCGATGACGAAATGAGAAGAAAATCTCGGGAAATAGCCGGAAACTTTAATTTTAATCGGCGGCCAGCCACGCTTTTCCCGCGACTCTCGAACGAGTTTCGTTAATTGCGCCGATTCCGGAAAAAACTTTCCAACGTGAAAATTGCGTCCCTCGCGGCTGCCCGAACCCCGCCTTTCTCCTTTCCTCCGCCAGGATATTTGTACACGAATTTCGCGCAAAAAGGAACGGAGGAGAGAAAAAGGAGGAGAAAGAGAGAGAGAGAGAGAGAGAGAGAAATATGGTCGCCGACCATAGAAAGTTCCGGTGGAAAATTTTTGCGTAACCATCTCGCGTATAAAATTCGTTTCCAGAATCTCGGCGACGGATTAAACGAGAGGAGTTGGTTGGAGGAAGGGAGCTCGAACTTATATAACGATAATTGTCGTTATTATATCGTCGAGGACTGTCTCTAAGGACTTCCAAGTTCTGGGAAACAGGGAAACAGTTAAGACGAACAAGGGCCCGGTGACAAGTCGTTTTAAACTTTCTTGACAATCGAATGAATTGCCCGGCAAAGGTATTCGAGGCCCTGTTTTTCGCTCGGTCAGGTTAACGACG